ACTAGTACTGAAAGTTCATAGTATGGGTTACAAATGGGCGAGAGAGGGACAAGTCCTAAGTCTCTAGTGAAAGGAGTGAACGGGTGCTGAGAGAGCTCGGTTGCTACTCAGCCGTGTGTTCGGGGTTCGATGGGTTCATCATGGTTCAATCGGATCTAGCCTGAATCGATGTGATGTATTGCGATGCCCCTTATGGGATGCCCTGCTTTCCCTTTTATAGGCCAAGGGAAAGCATGGGTGACAACGGAGGAAAAAGAAGAACAAGAGAGAGAGAGAGAGCCAAAGGCCTATAGGATCACTGGGTCCTTCTTCTCCTTCATGCGGGTCCCGCCGACCCTATAGATGTCAACAGGGACGGCTTCACATCACGGTCATATCCATCACTAGCGCCATGCGCAGGCGTCATATGCCGATCATGGCGCTCCACTCCATCCTGGCGAACATCATGGTGAACTGACGCACCCGTCAGTGTTCGTACGGAGGTTAGGCAGAATAGCACCGGTACACCCGATGCTGTTCTTGCTGTGAATCCTCCGGTATGGCCCATCAAGGCCACGGGTTACATCAGGGCATACCGATCTCTTCCCTGGTGTCAGAGCTTTGACTCAGGCCCATACACTTGGACCTGGAGTGGTTGGCAGCGGTATGGGTCTTTGTCGGGCGAGGCGAAGCCCGTGGCCTCAGGGTCGGGCGACACAGAGTCCTCCCCCAGAGACCAGGCGAGGTGGAGTGCAAACCCGAGGGTTGGATGAGGTGGAGCCCACGGCCTCAGGGTCGGGTGAGGTAGAGCGTAGACCCAAGGGTCGAGCGAGGCGGAGCGCAGACCTAAGGGTCAAGCGAGGTGGAGCGCAGGCCCAAGGGTCGGGCAAAGCGGAGTCCTCCCTCAGAGGCCGGGCGAGGTGGAGCACAGACCCAAGGGTCGGATGAGGTGGAGCGCAGGCCCAAGGATCGGGCGAGGTAGAGCATAGACCCAAGGGTCAAGCGAGGTGGAGCCCGCGGCCTCGAGGTCGGGCGAGGCGGAGTCCTCCCCCAGAGGTCGGGCGAGGCAAAGCGCAAACCCAAGGGTCGGGCAAGGCAGAGCGCAGGACCAAGGGTCGGGCGAGGCAGAACGCAGACCCAAAGGTCGGGCGAGGCGGTGCCCTCTCCCAGAGGCTAGAAGAAGCAGAGCATACGCGTCAGGAGGGTCATTTGGAGCTGTAGTCGCGCTCTTGACTGTTTGGATGAGTCAATGTTGATGGTCATTAGCTCATCCTCTTCAGGAACCCTAGTATTGGTTCCCGACAATACCTCACTCAACACCCACGCGCGACTCCCCCCGCCCTGACTGCCCTAACCACACACGCCCGCACGCCACAGCCATGGTTTGATTCCTATCCTGCATGTTGTGTTTTTTCCATGAAACATCATCCTTTCCTCTCGAGCGACCGCAGAAAGGGAAAAACACCACCCCAACTTCTGCCATCGCCTCTTGTTCCCGACGATGGTGAGCTCTCCAGGTCCGGCGGCCTCCTTCGGCTTTGTCGATGATGGCTAGATCTGGTGATTGGAGTCGCAGACCCCCCTTGTTCTCCCCAGACTCTCCACCCCCCTTCTTCTTCCTGGGCTCTCCAACCCTTCTCCCGTGTCGCTCCTCCGGAGTCGTAGATGCCGTTGGCCAAGCCGGCATCGTGGCTAACCTCGCGGCCCCCCTGGTCGACTTGTTGGCTAGGGACACGGCTGGGCGGCCCTCCGTCGTGGGTGTGAGTGAGGGGTGCGCCTCCCCTTGTCGTCGATGCTGCTCTAGATAACATCTTCTCTCCACCCTGAATTTGTCACCAAAAATGCTCCTTTAGGTAATTAAATGTACTCGCCTGTTTACACCAAAATTTGGGAAGAAGAATGTGGGAACTCGAAGCTTCCAGGATTATATCATCAAGGAATCGATTAGATGTGAATCGGTATCAGCTGATTTAGATGCGATGTTAGAATTGACTATTTTATAGATGACGTCAGCAGACGGCGTCAATGGGCTATGCTTGAATGACGCCAGGAAGATATGTCGGACTCTACAAACAAGAAAAATTAGGGTCCAAGTTATTATTAAGTTATGAAGTTTTCTTTTATTCCAAAAATTGTAATGAGTCGTATTTGAGTAGGATTCATATTTAGGTTTCGGGTATAAATATTAGACCCTGATTATTGTACAAGGGAACGAACACTCAATCAATACAATTTTTACGGCTTTCGCCATCGCATTAGGAGTAGGAGTTCTGTAGATCTCGGTGAGTTCTTCAACAAATAGGGCTGCATCGACTGATCGACCTCCAGCTTGATTGTGAGTACCATCACGACTTGTATTGTGCTTATAAAGCTGCATCAGCTGATTGATCTTTTATGAGCTATAATATAAGTTAGTTATCGATCCATATCATTGTTTGTAAGGCTGCATCAGCTGATTGATCTCTTACCAATCATAATATAGATCAAAGTTATCGATTTTGTGTTAAATAACTTGTTGTTTAATACAATATCACCAGTTATCGAATCAACTAAAATTAGTAAGATTTTTCTTGCTGATTTTGGTTGATTCACTGGTTATCGATCTTGCTATAATTAATGTTTTATTAATTATAACAAAATCACCCGATTGAGATAGAGATAGATCGGCATCATATCATCTTAATTGGTCGTCTTTTGATCTGGTCACGCTTTAAATCTTATAATTGATGGCTTAATTCCGCTAGATCGATTGTTTTATCTCTATTCTAATCAAATATAGTATGCATCCAAAGACATGTTTCAATCTTGAATAAACTCACTAGTTAATGAGATCTAATCTAATGATGCTACTATAGCTGTATCGATCCGATCGAACCTCACTGGTAAGACTTTAGATTAGAAATTATCGATTAGTGGTCTTGTTCATGATCAAGATATGTACTCTATTTGTTTGCTATGATGCATCGGCTATTTTAGCCGATTTGCCTATACTCTCACGTATATAATATGTTTTCATAAATCTGTCAACATATAGATGGTTTTATAGATTCTTTGGCTTTAGTTTGTTATCATTATTATAGCTGCATCGATCCGATCGAACCTCACTGTTGATGATAATAGATTAGATTCAAACTGTTTGTAGATTCATTTATATTAGACAATCGATTCGTTCGCATGTTATACTCTTTTCATCAAACTTATCGGCTCGACGCTTTATATCGATCATGTTCTATTTAGCCGATGATGCTTTCTTATAATGCTTCTTTGCCGATTATCAATTCTCTAATCGATCGATGACATCAATCGACCATTTGATCATATATGTTGGAATTTTAAGGAAAGATCTTCTGATTTTATATTTGGGGGTATTGTACTTGTTTTTGTCTAGATTAATCAGTCATCATAAATCTGCTATGATCCATGAGCATTGGTTATTTTGATGCATATCATTATTATTTAATTTTAGCTGATAATCCTTGATTTAAAGATTTCATGGATACGCCGGATATTAACTATTTAGTCGATAGCGTTATTGAATCGGCTATCTAGCCGTACATTTAGAACCGTCTGGTGCAACACTGACATGTTCCACCTTAAATTACTGATGAGATTTTCTCTCCTTGTCAATTGCGGGTTAAATTGACTGCCACGTCGTTGGGTTTTTAGAATCGGCTGGTTCTGTGTTGAAGCCAAGCAGATCTCTGGTCTCGTTCCACTCTGATCTTCAGGCTTGTTGTGTGTTGATCACATTGCCACATTTTTGTGTCAACACCGCCCTTACACTGCCCTTGAATTCCCAACATGAACAGGCAAAACAAGACAGCGATCATTCATGGTTTTTCTAGCTATCCACAGGATTGACTTCACCTCCTCGTGTTGGAGCTAAACAAAACGATAGAGTGTGTATGGGGAGCAACCAAATAGGTGGAGATTGTACTATGAAGATGTAGATAAAAGATTATACAATCAACTAATCAAATCCATTGCTAATGCTAGTGTGTAAGATCACTGTTCCCTGTGACATGAACAACCACGCAAAACGTCAAGTTATGGTAAGGACGACACGGTGTACTCTCGTTGGTAAAGATGGCAACGGGGCGGGTCTGGACCCGAAACCCGCGGGTTTCAGACCCGCCAGGGGCGGGGGGTCTACTTCTCGCCCCGTGGGTTTTCGGGTTCGGGGACTCGAAATGGGGCGGGTCGGGGTCGTGTTTTGAATCCCCCCGCGGGTGCCCGTCAAGGACCCGCCATCCTGGCCCAACTAAGGTTGTAACTCTAGGTATAAATGAACCAATCGACTGACTCTCCTGTCTCCTTCCCATTCCTCCGTCGCCCTTGACGCGCACCCCGACCTCCCCACGCGCGCCCCTACACTCGAGCGCGATGAGCTCGTCGCATCCCCCCACGACCCCTGCACCAGTCCCGTCGCTACTCCCCTTTGCGAATCGCTACTCTTCGCTCCGCTCCCCCTTCGCTACTCCTCACTCCACGGCCGTCTCCACGCAGCACTCCACGACGTCGGCAGCGGGCTTGGCGTCTCTGCCCCTACGCGGCTGGCGGGCGGCGAGACCCTACGTGCCTGCGCAGCCGGTGGCAAGAAGACCCTCGGCGGCTAGCAGCGAGTCGGCGACCCCAGTCTCCAGGGCACCTACGAGGCTGCGACGGACAGATAGAGCCTCATCTCGTCGGCGAGCACCATCTCCGTTCGGGTTGCGGGGAACCCGACTCGACGGGTTTGGGGTCGGGTGTGGATTTTCACCTGAAACACAGTTCGGGGCCGGGGCGGGGTTCGTTGTCAGGTTTCGGGTGCGGGTCCGCGGACGCTCCACCTGTCCCGTTGCCATCTTTATTCGTTGGGCATGACCTTAAGGCGTAAATCGGATATTACGCTACCGCAAAAGGTAGGCGAAAATGGGCAAGTACGTATCGAAACACCTGCACTCTCCTAAGACCCCAAGTGACGACTCGACTGAGTGGTCGTCCCTAGCAGAAACGTCGAGATCGACGGCGAGAGTTTTCCTATGACCGGCGGCGGCGGCAGCACCCGGCGTCCGACCGCCGCGGCCAGGAGCCGCGGGAGGCCATCTGAGGCCTCGGAGCCGGAGCCGGGCGCACGCCGAGCCGCGGCCGCAGCGGCGCGGCGCCGTGGCCGCGGCGACCATGGGCCCCTGCGCCTCATGGACGTGAGGCCCCGAACCCTCGCGCTCTTCGTGCTTGCTTCCTTCGCCTTCGTGTCGGTCGCCTTCGTGGTGTATACTGGTGGGTGGTGGGAGGAGGCGGAAGGGGAGGGCGCGGCGACGCTGCGAAAGGTCATGCGCTCCGTAACCCCGCTGTCAGCGCCCAGGATGATGGATCTGCCTCAGGTGATGCCCATTTGTTTGCCACGTTGTTTTTGTTGAGCGTTCTATGTTCTGTGGGGCTGTCTAGACTCTAGAACCCGAAGGTTGAAATTGCACGACAGCTAAAGCTAGTAGAGAAGTACGCACTCTAGTTTCAGGGACTCTAGTTGATTTGGGAAGGGCTGCTTTATGTATTCGTGAAGTAGTGGTGACTATGATTTAGCATCAGGTGAGATTGGCACCATGAGCTATTAATTGTGCATCACTTCATATTTAACGATGATAGAGTTATGTTGAAGCGCAGTAGTCTATACTGATGTTGGTACACGAAGCTAGTTAAATTTGTTTGTCACGAAGTATGAATATGCTACCTGGGGACCAAACACCGCTTTTGATGTGCACACTATTATATGTATCTGTACTTCTTTTTCTAGTATGCACTTGATTTTCTCTTGATCTAGTTTTTTTTTTCCTTCTGAATGATGCATAATTGAAAGGCTCTCATTTCTTTGTATCCTTAGGTTTTATTAGTAACAATGTTACCTTTCTGATGGTTCATGCCTAAATGATTGCAGTTTCAAAGTAACCACAAGGAAAGTTTGTATTGGGGCACTTATAGACCAAATGTGTACCTTGGAATTCGTGCAAGGTGCTAAACTTGTGCAAAGCCTCCCTATTCTCCTTCATAACAAGTTAATTACTGAAAATTATTCCCTTCCTGTAGTTCTCTACTGCTTGGACTACATTTGAAAGTTCATGTTCCTCGTATAAAATAGTTTTGATGATATTTCCTTATACTGTCATGAAAGTTAGAATCTTATAGACACTGAGAAGTCTCTCTGTTCCTTCATGTGGAGTCAATCATCTTTATACAATGAAACTACTTCTATACTGTGGCTTTTAAAATAATACGCCATGCTATTTTTTTTTAGCTGAAAGTACCGTCTTTATGCAATGAGAATTCTTTGGAACCAAGGATTCAAGAATTTCTTGCTAATATTACCTCTATTGCAGAACCCCTCTGTCTCTAATTGCCGGACTGATGTGGATTGGCTTGAAAAATGGACAATATTTTCTTCGCCATGTTTGCCAAGATTCTGATGAGCTGAGCACATTTGGGTGGACAGCTCACAATGGTAGGGATTATGGACGTCAAGTGCTGGTTGATCATGGCCTATTCTTGACTACTAGTTTTCTGAAAGAGAAAGGAGAGAACAGTGGTTATGGTGGAGACTGGGCAGTTCGATTGGATGCTAACAGTGAGAGGTAAATATACTTTCATTATCTGCAAATTGAAGAAAAGAGCAGTTCAATCTTACAGAAAAGATGTTTTAACACATCTCAGTTTGTAAACATACTAAACAGAGGATGGAAAGAATGACAGGTCTGAATTGTTTTCTTCGTTGCCTGATCCCAGCTCAGTAGGATATCACCTGTGATTACTTACTTGCAACCGTGCAAAGTTACCAAACCAAAATAAATTTATTCCATGTTGTTAAACTTTCTCTAGGTCAGGCTTAAGTGATGCTCAAGAAAGCACCACACATCTTTTTTTCTACATTGCTGATGAAACTGGAAATCAGACCACTATGGGTTCATATGAACCTTCATCAAGAGGCCCTGTTCTTTTGGCTTCTGGGTCGCATGAGGAGATTGGTGATTGGGAATTGCACTTGAGATCTGAGGTATCCTTGTCTTCATAGTTTTTGACCTTGTTAACTCCTCAGTATTGTTTGCGACTGGGATATGCTGGTGCAACTCCATTTGACTAACTCTCATATGGATATATCCAACTCTGTTTCTCACAGGACAATTTGGAAATTCACAGAGCTGGATTCAAATCAATGAGTATGCATAATCTGAGTGACCTAGTACAACAAGCTGTTGCGACTAATGTATTCTAAACTCCTCATCATTTACCTTATTACTCCCTCCGCTCCAAATTGTAAATTGTTTTGCATTTTGACTTTATCCTAAGTCAAACTTATCTAGTTTTGACCAAGTTTATAGGAAAATGTATTAATATTTACAATATCAAATGAATCCACTATCAAAATATATTTCATGGTGTATCTAATGAATATAGTTTGACATAGTAGATGTTTGTATATTTTTTTCTATGAACTTGGTCAAATTAGAAAAGTTTGACTTAGAACAAAGCTAAAATGATTTACAATTTGGAATGGAGTGAGTATTTGGGAAAAATCAGAACATTTTGTATTTCATTAATTACCTTTCAATGTAGTACTTATACGGATTTATGTCTAGGCAATGCAAACTGGAAACCTTAACCTACCAGATATTACTGAAGATTCTTCAAATATAATGGTCTATCAGGTAACTGGAAGAGGGCAAGGAAATTTATTCCATCATTATAATTATGTATTCCCCATGTATGTGTGCAGCCTTTCGATAGAAAGAGTCATTAACACCATCTTATTTCCTTTCGACTTTCGTAAATGGTAAATGATGTGCAACATGTGCTTGTTTCCTCAGTATAATCGCCCTGTTCGTTTGGGCTGGTTTGGCTCATAAGCCATGGCTGAAAGTACTGTTGGCTGGTTTGGTGTGAGAGAAAAATACTGTTCGTTGGCTGATAAGCCATGGCTTATAAGTCAAATACGACCAAGCGAACAGGCTGAATGTCGAGAAGCAGGTGTCGCATGCCATAACTTTGATCACTGGCACGTCATATTTCAGTTAAGCATTAGCAATAGAAATATATTAGCACATTAGCTATACTCACTGTTATGTAGTAGTAATATGTATGGATTGGACACATGGAGGATGTATTGAGGCTCTTTTTTTTGGTGAACTACGTTATATATTTTATTGTTTTCTTTTGTTTCTTCGAAGAACCTATTTTGTTTTATTGTTTTCTACTTTATAAATTATATAACCAAATGTTACTGGTATCCTCTGTTAATTCTTCTGATCCATGTTTGCTGTGGTCTAGGCTTTATGTTGTTGTTTCTTGTCAGCTATTGCATTATGATTTATACTTTACTTTATTTTGATTTGATAGGTTTCCATAAAGACTCCTGCTCAAATAGACATAGTATTCTTGTCAGGGTCTGCCTCAAAGTCTCCAGTGATTGAAGAGCGGATTAGCAAGCTAACAGGTGATTCTGCTGCATAGTGCATACTGCAAACACTATATGTGATTCTTCTGATTCTATTGTCATGGGATGTAAAGTCACCACCCATATTCTTTACGCACTGATCATTTTAAACAAATCTACTTGGCTCTTGGCTTGTTCTACATCCTTGCATAATTTTCTGGATCTGTTTCATCTACATCTTGTCTTTGTGATGAATATGAAAATCAAGAACATTGTAAGCACAACATATTTGTTGTCTTAGTCACTTCTCATTAATGATGTCAGGTCCCATGCTGAGTACCCGTCTTGAAACAAAACAAAAGGAATTTGAAGAGAGATATGATCAAATCTTCAATGTAAATAATAAGGTGCGCTTTGTTGGATGAGCATTTTGTTTAACATTCCACTTTTTTTATCTTGTTTTTGCAGTATCTGAAGTTGTTTTATTCTCACTGTATTATTGTTTCCTACGAATGAATTAAAATATTTCTTTCCCAAGGGATGTTACTCATTACTTTATTGGCTCTTGTATTTGTTTGTGTATATATCAGTGTGCATGATAGTGTCATTCAGTGTGAAGTGTTTGTGTGCTTCAATTTACTACAGTTGAAAACATTTTAATCGTTAATTTGTTTTTGCTGTTAGATAAGAAATGTTGTAGACAGTTAGTAAAACTTGACTAAAGTTTTTGTCGTTGACCTATGCTGATGTAGTTTTCATTTTGATTAAGATTGATTCCAGACAATTATCTGTTGGTAGAGCTGCCTTGTCAAGTCTTCTTGGCGGCGTTGGCTACTTCTATGGGCAATCCAAAGTTGCAATTCCGAAAGGTTTTACAGTAAGTTTTAGAGCTTCACCTGACATCAGTTTCATTTGTTCATATGTTGTGATCTGCTCTTGTTCTGAGAAATTGCTATCTCAGGATACTTTAAAAAAAAAAAAAAATAGCTGTGTGTTATTTTTATACTGTTTTGTAGTTATGTTGCATCTGAATTCCTAAGCTACAAGTCACAGCTCACAGACAACCAAAACTTATTGCTTATGTTTCTCTGCCAGCAAAAAAATGGGGATAAGTATATTCCATATTGGCCTGCTGCGTTATATACAGCTGTTCCCAGCCGCTCATTCTTTCCAAGGGGATTTCTGTGGGATGAGGGCTTCCATCAATTAGTCATTTGGTAACTATTAGTTTTTATCTCAGTGTTCAACAAAGGTTTTCTGCTGTATGCTCTAACGCACATCCTCGGTGGTGATGTACAGGCGATGGGATGTGCATATATCTATGGATATCATTGGGCATTGGTTAGATCTGCTTAATTCAGATGGATGGATTCCCAGGGAGCAAATCTTAGGAGCTGAAGCTTTAAGGTTGTTTCTACTGTCACAACCAGTGATAAGTTTAGTGCGACACTTATTATATAATCCAACTTTTCCAATCATGCAGTAAAGTTCCTGAGGAGTTTGTTCTGCAGTACCCTTCAAATGGAAACCCTCCAACTTTATTTCTTGCGATACGTGGTAAGCCATTACTTTCTTTCTTCCTCCTCGTGTTGATGTGTTTATTGTATCTTGTGATATCTAACTCTTTGTTTCCTCTGATATTTAGTGTAACTTGCCTGCATGGCATGCCTTTAAATGAAAAATGTTGAAGCATAACCTATAAAATGAATTTACAAACTGCAGTTTTCTGTTCCTCTTTCTCCAATATTCAAATGCCATAATATATGAAAAAGGGCACGGCAAAGTGTTCAAGGAACAGAAGACCTGTCTTGGGAGTATTACAAAATATGTTAGTTTGTAACGTTTTGGTGTATGCTTATCCAATTATAAGCATTGAATGCTAAGAAGTTTTGTTGACTGGCAAGCACCTAAAGTCTGTTAAACATGTGAAGGTCTGTAGAGTTGAAGTCTTGAATTGAACTGTAATAAAGTCTTGCTTTCGATTAATTTGACATATGCCCTTTGTCTTGGCACAGATTTGGCAAGTGGTATACATGCACAGCAGTTTTCAGATGAGGAAGCTGAAAAGGTTTCCAGTTTCCTTCAAAGGGCTTATATACGGCTAAAATCTTGGTTTCAGTGGTTCAACAGTACACAATCAGGTGAGCTTTCTTTTACCACTTTCATCTTCTGTACTCATACTGACTAGTTGGAGTTTTAATGCTATTGCCACGGTTATTTTCTGAAACACACAAACATGATAAACCGACAAGCTGTTATATGGTGTATGGAGATGATAGTTGAAAGCCTAACAAGAGGCACTAGCTCAGTCTATTATTAGGTGCTAACTGTGGTTGTACAGCAAAAAAAAACAGAGAGAGAGAGAGAGAGATACGATTGGGACTTTGAAGCCTTCACTGGGTGCTATTAATTTTTAGAGTATATTTCGGTCGCAGAATTTCACTTTCAGTTCCTGCTGGCTTCAGTTCATAATTGTAGTGAGCACAATTTCTTATAAGACATGAACCTAAGCTTGAGCAGAAATTAATTGTTGACACAGCTGACAGTCTTTCCAATCGATCTCCTAGACTTCCTTTTGTAGACACAGATTTGCAGAACTGATCTCCAGTAGCTCCATATTTTATACTCTCACCTCAAGTCGGTGAAAAAAGTATATTTGGTTCTAAGCTATTCTTTTTGTAATTGTGGTCCTCAGCTAGTTAAGTAGCTGTTACATCTCAAATCCACTGTTGCATATATGATTCTACTTGTCGTGTCAACACTTCTACCTTTGGCTTATTTATCATAAATTTTTTATAGGTAAATATGAAGGCACCTTCTATTGGCATGGAAGAGACAACATAACAAGAAGGGAGTTGAACCCAAAGGTTTTTACATAATTCATTGTTGCTTGTTCCCGCACTGATCAATTGATCAAAAGCTTTTTCATTGAGCACACGTCATGCCATATTAGAGTTCCTTCACTTTGCACTTCTGATGTTCCCAATTACTTTGCAGACTTTGACATCTGGATTGGATGACTATCCTCGTGCATCTCACCCTAATGATGAAGAACACCATGTTGACCTTCGTTGTTGGATGCTTCTTGCTACAAACTGCATCCGTTCCATTGCGGAGTTTCTTAAAATGGATAGTTCTCTTGAGAAGGTAGTTCAGTATGGATGTAGGAACATGACTTGCTAATTCAAGTTGATTTGTCTCAATCATTGACTTTGGCTCTTTTCTTTGAAAAACTTTGTTGAATTTTTGCAGGATTACTATAAGATGTCAAATCAACTTTCTGATTTTGGAACACTTAACAAGGTACTGTGCTGTCAATCCCTTGATTTTTTTTCTTCTGTGAAGCAAAGTACAGACGCAGACACAAATACATGGAAGTCCTTGAATTTTGTATCATATTGGAATTGTTTTTTGGAGATCTCTCAAGTATTTTGGCGCTGTCTTGACTCCACCATAAACCTGTTCCACTCTCCTCTTGAGAGTGGACCTCTCAATAATTTCCTCTGTATGGAATCTTCTAGAAAATTGTACGTTTATAAAAATTTCTGCCTTAAAACATGGTTTTATTCTAGTTGATATATTGATCATGTTCTGAACCCCGATTGTGCCTTTATGAGACTATTGGTTTAGTTCCAAAATCGAAACAATCCGATGACTACTGCTTGTTTCATCCAGTTATGTAATCATTGGCATTTTTACAGTTGCACTTGGATGACAAAATTGGTGCTTATTTTGATTATGGTAACCATACTGAAAAGGTCAGCACTGTGCTTCCTCTGACCTTTGGTACTTTGTTTTCCACACATTATTCTCAAACTGTGATTGTGAGGTTATTTTTGTAGGCTCGATTGAGATGGTTTGATGTGAAAGACAAGGATACTATGAGGCGAGAGTTCTTGCGAGAAACATTACAACCCCCTCAGCTGCAGTTAGTACCCCATGTTGGCTATGTCAGCCTCTTCCCATTCATGATGGGGACTATTCCACCTGTATATTCTTTACTTCTATCTGTCTTGTTTATCACTTAAATGGTTTTTCTGATGCCCATCCTAATTAGTAATCACATGTGGCTACTCAGGAGTCATGGGTTCTTGAGAAGCAGCTCAATCTGATATCTAATACCTCTATATTATGGACAGATTATGGCCTTCGATCGCTTTCTAGAACAAGGTAAATGGTCATGAATTGGTCTATTATTTTGTCCATTCTCCCCTCCCCCTCATCCACCCCAACCCTTCTCCCAAAACACCACATAAGTTTTGGATATCTGGAGCATATATGCTATTACTTTCCTACCCTATGAACGCATCAATATGACTAGATGGAATTGTCAAACTGCATTCATGCTCCCAATACCTTGTTACTGTAGCTCACGCTGGTTTATATAGCTATATTATTTGGTCATCCAATAACCGGGTTCTGATCTATTTATTGATATATGGTCCAGTTCAATATATATGAAGCGTAATACAGAGCATGACCCCCCTTATTGGAGAGGTGCCATTTGGATAAACATGAACTACATGGTTCTTTCCGCACTACATCACTATGCACATGGTAAGTTCTTTAAGTGCCTAGTTTATACCCTTTGCAAACCCTTCTGCTGGTACAATGATCTCACATTGTGCTTTCATGTAGAGGATGGTCCATATAGCAGCAGGGCAGGTGAATTGTATGACAAGCTAAGATCAAATCTTATCCGGTGTGTTCATTCTTCTCTTGAGTTGAAACCAAATAAATTAGCTGAACTGTAGCTTGTCTAATGGATTGCTGACGCTACTTTCCGGTTTTACATTTACAGGAATATCGTGCAGAATTACGATGAAACAGGGTTCTTCTGGGAAAACTATGACCAGAAGAACAAAGGAAAGGGAAAGGGTGCACGGTCATTTACTGGATGGACTTCACTTATTGTTCTGATCATGGCGGAGTCCTACCCAACATTGCATAGGTGAGATATACATTGCAAACAACCAGAGCAGAAGATAGCTATGGCTGTTGGAATGAAGGGGCTGACAGCTGGCTGTTGTTTAGCTTGATTTCCAACCAGAATACTCGGAGAACTTGATTCATAGCATTAACTGCCTTAATCATGAAAATTTTGACAATAACTCCTGGTCAATCTGTTCAGCATCATTTATACAGTGTTAGTGGTCATCGCTGTTCACTCTCATACTGTAAACTAGTTCCTCGAAGAACTAACTTTTGGGGTCCCGAAAACCACCCCAGGAAAGCATGAGCATATGGAAACATTTCGTTCTTGAAAGCTGATACTACGTGGAGCTGTTATTTGCTATTGAACGTCTATGAATGTACTCTGTTACTGCATGTTTCTTCAGGGATCATTGAGCTGTCATTTGGTTCTTGTAATCTGTTACTGCTCTTACTATGCTTGGCCATTTGCACAATACGGGTATAACGGCCCAATGATCCCTGAAGAAACATGCTGGCCTGAGTACGTGACTGATACATTCGCATTTACTTGCTGGCCCGAGTACGTGACTGATACATTCGTGTTCGCTTCTCTTATAATCCATACTTTTTAGCTTGTTTTTTCAGCCAGAACAGTGTTTTTCTCTCATAACAAATCAGCCGGAACAGTGTTTCGGCTCGTTTTTTCAGCGAAGCGAACGGAGCCTTTACAGCCAGCCGCTGCTGCTTGTACGTTTAACTGTGAGAGAATTTTGATTGCAGCAGTTCTTGTATGTGAGAATTTTGACTGCAGCAGTGTTGCTTTTAAGAGCAGTCGAACATTGTGAATGTATGGCATGTGTTTTGAAATCGTTTAACCCTCTGGAAAGCGGGCCCTGTCTGTGCTGTGACTGCCTGTACTTTCCTTTGCTGTGTCTGCAAGCATCATGTATCCCCTGTTTTGCAAGCAAAGTACTCCCAACATTCTGAATTCAAATTATCGTCGGAAGCCAATGTTTCCTTCCCCAGGTAAGTTGTTGCCCAGTTGATCACTGGGAAGTGGGACCCCTTTTGAGCGGAGACCACCGGGCTGGTAGCAGCTTGCCTTGGATTCGTGGTACTGGTCAGATCATGAAGAGGGGAGACTTCCTGAATCCGTAGTCCTGCTGGAGAATCTCTTGCGATCAACTCACGGATTCCCGGTTCTACCAGGTTCAGGTCGCCTGCCACTGACAACTTTGATGCACGCGTCCGGCGTCCACGCTATTTGGATGGAAGTCAGTACTTCCAATGTCAAAAGTCAAAATATGTACTCTACCCATCTCGCATCGCGGAATTTCCCTTCTCGATGGAACCCGTTTGCTTGAACATATCGGCCGTACCGTTTCAGCAAAATAACATTATTTTTTTTCTCACAATAAATCAACATAAACTGTTTTTTCAGCCAGCGGGCCAGTACTGTAGCATTGAATTTCTCTCGTGGCGGTTAGCAGTCAGTCACCGTGGCCATGGTCCAAGCAGAAGCGGACGGAGCACTGAGCACACGAGCGCAGAGAGCCGTCGCCATCGTCCGTCGCAGATTCGCAAATTCGCTAGCGGACACAGTTTGCTCCACCAAACTCCCAAACCCACCCAAATTCCCAACAGCCCCAGCCCCATCACATTCCAATAGCACACCAGAGCAACGACGGAAGATGAACAAGAAAGTTTACACCCTGTTCGCTTTATCATTTACGTGGCTTATAAGCCGGCTGATGCTGTTTTGTTGTGAAAGAAAAATATTGTATCATGACTGATAAGCGTGGCAGATACGATCAAGCGAACATTGTGTTATCCCGTTGTTGATTGCGCATGAGTAAAATGCAAGTCAGGTCCTTAAATTTTTGGGGGCATTCCTATGAACTATAAAAACAACTATCTAGGTCTCTCATCTATTGCTATTGCACATTAAAGGACCAAAACCTGCCATGTTAGCGTCAACATCCGACGTGGCGATGCCACAGTGGCAGCTGGACACTGTGGGGCCGTGCCAACTTCTAAAAAAACCCCTCAAACGTTTGGAGCACAGCGCATGCACGCCCGGCCACGCAGGCACGCGAGCAGGCGCCGTCGCTGGCGTGCATGTGAGCCGCCGCCGTGGCGGCCACGCGGGCCAGCAGCAGCTGCCGGCGTGTGGGCTTGCGTGCGAGCAGGGGTTGCCACAGCCGCTGAGGGCACGCAAGCAGGCGCCACCGCTGCCTCTGCAGGCACGCGTGCGAGCCACTGCCGCGGCCACGCGAGCGAGCAGGCGCCGCCGCCGCCGTCGCAGCCACTGCGGGCGCGCAGTGCGAGCCGCCGCCGCCACTGCGGGCGTGCACGCGAGACTCGGCCGTGGGTGCGCATGCGAGCCTCTGCCGCGGCGTGCGGCGGAGGATTATTGGGGTCACCGGGTGGAGCCGCAGCGCCTCCTTGACGCTGCGGTGGAGGACGTCCATCCGGAGCAGGACGTCGCAGTCGATGATTGAAGCATCGTCGTTCGATCGTTCAGCAGCAGCCGCCTCTGCTCCTTCGTGGCCGCGTGCAGCCACTCTGCGTGGCGGAGCAGGTGTGATGGCCGGCGAAGTGCAGCGCCAAGAGCAAGCCGGTGACCTCCGCCTCGGTCGTGCCACGACCGTCTCTGTACTGGGAGTGAAGTGTTAGTTGATCTCCACCAATAGGTGGGCCCTTGTCTTTGCTCCCTGATCGGGGGAGCCCAACCCTAATACGGTTGGTGGGCCCCTGTCGCACAGCACATATAAAAGGTAAGGTGGGGATCAGGGCTCGGGCTACGAGGTTCAACGGAGCCGCCGCCATCCCACCCTCAGTAAACCTAAACTGATCAAAGTAGTGTTGCCAGCGACGGGAAGCCCATCAACCTCACCGTCGCCACTACAGCGCCATTGGACTTCATCTTCATCGCACAGGACGCCTACTACACCGCGGCACCGGTGTCTGCGAGGCTACAGTCAAGGTGTGTAGAGGAACCCAAAGCAGAGGTCTACCCGGTTCTACGGTTACACAGAGAGGTAATCTACGATCTTAACATTGGTACCAGAGCCAGGTTGCCAGTGTGTAACCCTAACCCTAACCGGGTAAAAGCAAAGAGGAAAAGAGACCGGGGGTGGCGGACGTCACTGGAACCCCGGTCACCACCGCCACCACGCGGGGAAAAGTGCCGGTGCGGCAAGGAAAGAAAAGAGTTCCTTACGGATCTGAACAGAGAAGGGGTTCACTAACCCTAACCCTAAACCCGTAAAAGCCTTCAACGGGAAGAGAAATAGTAGAATCAAGAAGAAGAGTGGGTTCGGATTTGGTCGAACCCTAAGACCTAACCCTAATTTTAACCCCATCCCAAATCGGGTTAATCCCAAAAGAAGAATGGGAAGGGGAAAGAAGGGGAAGGAATCAGTCTCGGGGAAGAACAGTGAACCCTATCATCTCGATCTCGATTCAAAACAAATCGGGTTCAACCGAACCCTAACCCTAACTCGCATGGAGAAAGGGAAAAGGGGAAAGCCATTCGAATGAACTCCGAAAAGAAAAAGAAATCAAAACAAAAGTGCAAATCTCAAAACCCTAACCCCAATCGGTTGAATTCGTAGAAAGAAGTAGATTCAAAAGAAAAGAAAGGGAAGAGGGGATAATCTCGCTGATCTCGAATCAAACCAAAAGAAAACACGAATCGGGTTCAACCGAACCCTAACCCTAGATCTCCTTTTCGGGTGAACAAGCGAAAAGAAAAGAAAGCAGATACAACTCAAATCGGAGAAGGGGAAAAGGAGACAAACCTCGCCATGCGTCGGGATGGCCCTTCGCCGACGCGGGAGAAGTAGGGCCGAGCCGGGGGCAGCTGCTCACCGGGCTCGGCCAAGGGGGCGCCGCGGCCAGGCCGCTCGATGGCGGCGTGCTCACCCGTTGGGGAGCACGCACGCCGGCGACGGTGCCATGGATGCCTTGCTCCACCACCGTAGTTGCTCGGTCACCGCTCGGTGCTCGCTGCGCTGAGAGAGGAGAGAGCGGCGAAGAGAAGGCGAAGAGAGAGAGAGCAACGAAAGGAAGGAAGCTAGGGTTTTCGGCCGACGCGGCCAGTCAGTCCTTTTGTTCGGGCGAGATGGGCAGGCGACCGTCGGATGCGATCCGACGGCGGATCACGATCGGGCGGGTGAAACGGCCCCAAAGTATGTATGGTCAAGAAACTTTGGCGACCAGGCCTGAGTTGCGGCTGGGAGCCCCAAATGCAGCACAATAGGAGATGGGCGGGCCATTTTGCTTATTTATCATTTGAATGCACAGTAAGAAATGATCCATTTTTTCGTTTTTTCCTTTTCCAGCAAATATTTATTTCTGGAAAATGAAAAATAGCTCAAAGAAAATAGAAAAAGTAATTTTTCCATAAGGGGTAAAATTCAAGAAATTGAGTGAAAGTTTTTTCGCTGCTAAAGAAGTTGTTTATTCTCCAGTTATTTTGAACCAATGTGATATTTAATTGGAGAAAAAGAGTTTTGACATAATTATGATGTTGTTATTTTCTGACCAACGATGTTAATAACAATATCATAATTTTAATGGTTTATGCATTAATTCTACTTCTGCCCAATGGTGATGTAGAATTAGTGTATAAGAACAGATGTAAATTTTAATAATTTATGCATTAATTCTATTTCTGTCCAACGGTGATGTAGAATTAGTGTGTAAAAACAGTTGTGAAAGTTAATGATTTATGCATTAATTCTATTTCTGTCCAACGGTGATGTAGAATTAGTGTATAAGAATAATTGTATGTTTTGATTTTGACCAACGTTGGAAGGCATGGAAATTGTGTTATTTTTATGTTAAGAAAAGATTTGACCTAGTTTTCATCTTGGCTGAGGTGGACTGGGTAGTCACCTCACCGTGTCCCACTAAGTCTGTGGTACCGGTGAGGGAGACAAAAGAGAATGATGCCGATTAGGCAACTAAAGAAAGGGATTTTGAATCCCAAAAGATGTCCTATGACTTTGAGCATAGGAAGTGGGTCACTGCCAAC